TATTAATCATGTTGCAACAGTCTAGTAGATTATGGAATTAATTAGAGTTTGTTCTCCAACTGTATCTCCAACTAAGATACAGGTTCTGGTGCCCTTTAGATTTTCTGGACTACAACCCTGGCAATCTATTACCAACTAATGAACCTGCTGCTGCAAAAATGGCCAGTCCAGGCCACTATAGGTATAAACATAGCTTTGATGCAGAACAATCTTTCTGTAATTGCCCTAATGTTAATAAATAAATTGATAGGTCTGCCTTTCCATTTAAGCATAAAGAAACAAACAAAAGCATTTTCAAAAAGAAATCCTTTAATGAACTAACTGCACAATTATGCATTAGAATAAGGGAAATTGACTGTAGGATGATGATTGCTTTTTTTGCCCTTCGTAACTATATTATGCCACGTGTCTTTAAAAGATCATAATGCCCTTCAGCAATGTATCTAGAATAACATTGTAGTAACCAAAACCATTTGATTAGTAAATTAAAGAAAATAAATAAGATGTATTATCTTAATTTCTTGTTTTATTAAGAGTTTTCTAAAGCTAAACAAAAAATATTTTAAACATTTTCAAAAAGTTTATTTTTTGTATGGTAATATTCTAGGGCAGGGATGTCAAACTCGATTTCATTGAGGGCCGCATCAGGGTTGCGTTTGACCTTGGGGATCTGGGGTGGGCATGGCCAAGGATGGGCATGGCCAGCTCAACATCACTCATGTCTGGGGTGCTGTCAAGCTTCGTTTTTGGCTGCGACGGCCTTCTGCAACCCTCTACTAGTGAAAACAGAGCTTGGGAGGGCTGTCCACGGCCCTCTCAAGCTCCATTTTAGGCTGTGGTGGCCGCTTGCAATCCTCTGCCAGTGAAAGCAGAGCTCAGGAGCGCTGCGGGCCTTCTGTTTTTGCTGGCAAGCTTTGTGGGCTGGTCTTTTCCTGTTTCCTGGGCAGCCCTGTGGGCCAGATCTTAGCACCCCATAGGCCAAATCTGGCCTCCGGTCCTTGAGTTTGATACCCCTGTTCTAGGATATTCATATTCCTTTTTCCTGTCCTTTTTATTGAAAAGTTCTGTAAATCTAAAAGTCTGATTAGTAGAGATACAATTTGGGCTTTGATTCTGTTTTCCAGGCTGAAAGCAGGAAAATTGCCATGCAACAATTTTAGCACTTTGAAGATCCTCTCTGTGAAGGGTTCTTGATGCTCTTTGAGCTTGATGGTTTTCTGACAGACATTTTGCTATCCACACTAGGTAACATCATCAGGAATGGGGTTTGCTCTTGGTTTATATTCAGGTGGCTTGCCCTGTCAGTGGTAGTAGGAGTGGTCCTGTTCTTTTCTTACTTGTTGAATTAACCCTTACAAGCCCTGATGAAGTTAGCTAGTTTGGATAATGAAAAGTCTGCAAGAAAACAACCAAGATAAACCAAGGACTCCTTATTTTAACCCCAGCAACAAACATTTTTCTTTATCAATCTTCTCTGTACTTGTGTTATGCTGTTCCTATCTTCTAGTGTAGGGGTGTCAAAGTGGATTTCTTCGAGGGCCAGATCAGTATTGCACTTCTCCAAAGGCTGGCTGGGGGAGGGCGAGAAGGGATGTATCAAATGGGGCACACACACCCATTTTGGCCGCTAAAGGCACTGTGGGCCGGTCCTTTGCTATTTCCAGGCCAGTCCCACGGGCCATATTGAAGCACCCCATGGGCCACATTTGGTCAGTGGGCTTTGAGTTTGACACCCCTGCTCTAGTCTCCAAAATAACAGCTACTGTAGTCAAAAACATTGTGAAATGTATGATTCCCTTTTTCTGCTTCCCCATGGATATGTTTGTTTGAACTGAAAACTTAAATGTGAAGTGTAGAAAAGAAACATAGAATTGTTATGGTATAATAGCCCTATTAAAAACAATTAACCAGTAGTCCTGGAGAAAAGAAAAGGACTACTGTGCTGTTTTGTTCTGCCCTCTTCCTATGTTGACTGGTTTATTTAGTTTTTCCCTCACATCCTTGCATATTCTTCACTTTTTCAAGAGAAATTCACAAGGGTATTGTAATTGCAGGGATAATCTCATGACAAGTAAAACCAGTGCCTCACTTTGTCTTGTATTGCAGCCTCTGTATGCAAACTATGTGAATATATATGTGAGTTGGTATTGGCAAGTAAGAGTCACCAAAAATGGGTTTTATATCATACATTTCAGTCACTCAGCGTAGTCATCCTCAATCATTTACAAAAAATATTTAAATAGGATTAGTAAATAATTAGCATTTTTCATAAAACCAAATTATCATACACCAAAGCATTTCTAACATTTTGTTTGATGTCACAAATTAAGAACCCAATTTTGCTAATGTAACATTATACATCATTCTTCTTTGGCCCTTTCATCTGTAATTTGTTTAAAAACCTAGTTTTGAGCCTACAGTTTATAAACACCACTGGATATAGAAGATCAGAGTACATGTTCACAGGCAGCCCTTTTCTTTGATATTATCACATATTATCTTTTCTTATCATTCTTTTCATAAGAATTTTCAGCAGATGATACAAGGATGTTGGCTGAGACCACAACAGTTCCTGCAAAATTTATATGATTGAGATGCATTGTCCTTCAAGCTACATTCTTTTTCAACATATTGTTTGTACTTGATCCACATCATTTCCAGTATGGCAGAAAGCAGCTTGTTAAGAAGACCAACATAATTCCTTATCTTCAACTTCTGTATCAGTTTTTTCCAAATGCCTTGGGTAGAAATATCCAATAAAGCTGTTGGTCCAGAAAGTTAGGGATTAAAAAGCTGTACTTAATACATCTAAAAGAGACCAGGTTGGGGAAGACTAATAGAATTAATAATAGAATTAATCCCAAATTCAGATTTTCATTTCATTCATTCAATTCAGTTTATTCAAGTTCTTTTTCCTTCATTATTTATTAATTCTTAAATAATTGAAAATGACCACTAGGATCCAAGTGAAGCTATTGGTTTGTTTTTCTCCAAACCAAGTCTCTTCTGGTTTTACATTTCTGTGGAAGTTATGCTGCCTTGACAATATGGACTCATTAAAGATATTTCTATTAATGTGTACAGTGTCTTCCTTTATGATTGATTGAGACTTCTCAAAAGCATTAAATGAGGTTTGTAGTAATACACTAATGTGTATGCCATTCTGTATTTCTTTGCAGTTTTGCTGAATGGCATGTTAGATTCAGTACTAAGAATTGGATAGATGGCATGTTATCCTTAATTTGTTATCTGTTTATGTCGTGCATCTCCATTTCATACTCTTCTTTAAATAGCTATTCAGATACATTTCAACTTTTGTTGGCTCAGCTTATGATTTCTAATAGCTTGTTAGATAATTTTTGCAGCACTGGTTAATAGATTATAAAGTTCTTAGACTTTAAAAAAAATGGGGATGGAAATGTGTATTTCTATTATTGTTGATGGACTGTACAAGCGACTCTACAAGATAGCATTTGTGGTGCAGACCTAGCTTTTTATTGATATTACTGTTTTCTTGGAAAAGTCTTAGTGTTTGGGTTTGTATATATACATATATAATCTTTGTGATAATTGTCAATTCTGACAATCATAAAACATTGACAACTATATCACTCTGCCACTATATTCCTCTTGGCAGAATTCTAATATCTCATGAGTTAGCCACTTGCATTTGCCTATTATTATTTCTTGCCTATGAAACGCTTCTTGTGCTGAGACCTTCAATGTTTTTGAGCACAAACTGGGATTGTAACTATTCCCCCATTCAGGTAGTTCTCGACTTATAAAAGTTCATTTAGTGACCGTTTGAAGTTACAGTGGCACTAAAAAAAAGTAAAAGTTTTTTACACCTACGATCATTGCAGCGTCCCCATAGTCACATGATCAAAATTCAGGCATTTGGCGACCGACTCATATTTATGATGGTTGCAGTGTCCTGGGGTCATGTGATGCCTTTTTGCGATCTTCTGACAAGCAAAGTCAATGGGGAAGCCAGATTTACTTAAGAACCATGACAGCTGCAGTGATTCACTTAACAATTATGACAAGAAAGGTTGTAAAATGGGGCAAAGCTCACTTGACAAATGTCTCACTGAGCAACAAAATTTTGGGCTCAGTTGTGGTTGTAGGTTGAGGACTACCCTGTTTCTCCAACAATATGGCCTCCCCCAATAGGAAGTTCCAGCATGTTTTATAGGCATGAAATGAAATTAAGCTCCTCCCCCCAAATTAAGGCCTATATTAAAACATGCGAAATGGGGGGGAATGGTGGGGGGGCTTGCCGTTAGGAAGTACTTTTGTTGCACACCCGGATATGGTGCTGCCTGCGTTGACCCCGATACAAAGTGCCCCACCAATGCTGAAGTCAACATCCAAGCCGTTGCCGCCCGCCCAAAGATGCAAGGGGGGGGAAATTAAGTCACCCCCGAAAAGATGGCCTAGCCATTTTTTCGGGGCTCAAAAAAAATTAAGACCCAGCCTTATTATATGAGAAACACGGTACTAAAAGTTATTTTATTCTTGATATGGCATGTCCAACATGGTTATTTTTAAAAGCAACACTGACCTTGACTTTATCATAACACAGTCTGAGGGCTGGCAAATTCAGGCCAGAATTTGTTTGTACTGTTTGCAGTTTTACTACTTCAGTTTTTCATCAAAGGGTTTCTTCTTTTTCTTCTTCTTTGTGGCACTATTATGCCAATATTACTTCATGCAGCCTTTCTGGATAATAGCAGCCACTCGCTAGATTCTAGAATCATTCTCTTGCTAAGGCTGAAAGAGACAATTTGTGAATGAGAGAAAAGCCACATCAAAAGAGGCTGAGCTACCCCAATTTGCTGACAAGAAATGACGAATGATGATTTTCTGTTTCAGTGGCTCACTAAAGGAAACTATAGTTTGACCAAAAAGCTGTATTATTTTTTTTAAAAAAAAATCTGTACATCTAATTATATAATTTGCTTTTTCTTATGCATTGGTTTCATATTTTTTTCTTTTAGGAGGCTGCACCTTTGAAGATGGCCCGGGACCCTGTGATTATCATCAGGATCCCTATGATGATTTTGACTGGGTACATGTTAGTGCTCAAGAGCCTCATTACCTCCCCCCTGAGATGCCTCTTGGTAAGTGGCCAGAGTGTTGGTAACAACACATATTTTGTGAGATGTGACTGGATGTATGTTTTGTGCCCACAAATTTGAAAACTGTTCTCCAGGGAACAATATAGTAGAATAAATGTGGTGGGGATATGAATTACCTGCATTCTGAAATGAAAGAAGGAATACTGTATTTACCTGGATATGTTTCTAGATCTAGCTTTATTATAAATAGGTACCTCATTTTAACAGAATTACAGTAAAAAAATAATCTAGATCTGTATATACCAGTCCAGACCTTTGGATCTAGCAGCACACTGACTAAAACAATTACATTGCATGTTGAGTTCAGATTTGTTTTTTCTTTATCTTATAAAAGACACTGCAACACTTGGCAACATAAAGATTCTACTTTTGTGCTATAATTTCCTTAGTTCCTAAGATTTGAACTGGGGATCATTGCTTACATAACCAAAATGAGCACTACCAATGAGCAAGACCCAGGTATGGATGGGAAAAGGGGAAAATTGAATGTTCAGTGCTCTTATGACCCAGAAGGTAGAATTACTGGAATACTGAGCAATAGTCTGGCATCTTTACAGACAATAATACTATGAGTAAGTAAAGAGAGCCTCTAACAATTTGGTACTTTCCAGATAGCTCTGGAGAGCCAGCACAATGGAGTGATTTTGAAGCATTAGACCAAGACCAAAAAGGCTCAGCCATGGAACTGAAGACAAAAAAGATTCACCCTCAGCCATGGAAGTTCATTTAGAGACATGGCAGTCC